AACAATGTGATTTTCTGGATTTTTTTTCTCATTTTGTCTCTCATAGTTGAGGTATACCTATGATGAAAACTCATCTTTTTAAGTGGGAGAACTTGCACAATTGGTGGCTGACTAAATACTTTTTTGCCCCACTGTATATATATTAAAAAACCTAGTAACCCTCTAAACCTTGGAAAATATAGAAAGTATAGCCCCCAGCCACTTATGTGATATACTGTGGTGCTTAAAAGTTTGTATTTTCAACATTTGTGCATAAATATTATCTAAAACATGATGTATTCTCCTCACACATCCTTAAACTAGATAAAGAGAACCTAATTAAACAAATGAGTCAAGAACATTCTACTTGAACATTTATTTATTAAGGAAAAATTGATCCAAAGCTATATATTTGTGTATGACAAAAGTATGTGAACCTCTAGAATTATCAGTTCATTTAAAGGGAAGTTAGAGTCAGGTGTTTCAATCAATGGGATGATAATCAGGTGTGAGTGTGGGAGGTCCTGCTTTATTTAAAGAACATAATTCTGGGTTTTCACTGTCAAAGTCTGAGCTTCACAATACAGGTATGTGGAAGTGTGTCATGGCTTGGACAAAGGAGATTTCTGAGGACCACTGAAAAACAGTTGTTGATGCTCACCAGGCTGGAAAAGGTTATACAACTATTTCCAAAGAATTTGGAGTCCACCGTCAGGCAGATTGTGTACACATGGAGGCAATTCAACAAAATTGTTACCCTCCTCAGGAGTGGTTGACCAACCAAGATCTCACCAAGAGCAAGGTATGTAATATTTCAAGAGGTCTCAAAGAACTCCAGGATAACATCTAAGGAGCTAAAGGCTTCTCTTGCATTGGTGAATGTCAGTGTTCATGAAACCAGCATCAGGAGAACACTGAACAACAATGGTGTTTGTGGCAGGGTTGCAAGGAGAAAGCCACTACTCTCCAAAAAGAACATTGCTGCCCATTTCCAGTTTGTGAAAGACCACCTGGATAAGCCAGAAGGCTATTGGAAGAATGTTATGTGGATGGATGAGACCAAAATAGAACTTCTTGGCTTGAATGAAAAGCATTATGTTTGGCAAAAGGCAAATGCTACATTCCAGCATAAGAACCTTATCCCATCTGTGAAACTGGAACTATGAATTTTGAATTGTACCAGCAAATTCTGCAGGAAAATGTCAGGGTATCTGTCTGTGAACTAAAGCTCAAGAGAAAGTGGGTCATGCAGCAAGACAACAACCTAAAACATACAAGTCATATGACCCAAAATGGTTAAAGCAGAAATTTTGGAATGGCCAATAAAATCCTGAATTTAATTCTATAGAAATGTGGAAGGACATGAAGCAGTTCATGTGAGGAAGCCCACCAACCTACCTGAGTTGAAATTGTTCTGTAAGGAGGGATGGCCTAAAATTCTCCAAGCTGATGTGCAGGACTCATCAACTTGGAATGATTATCAGAAATGTTTAGTTGCAGTTATTGCTGCCCAAGGGGGGCACAATACTTTTAGCAAAGGTTCACATACTTTTGCTACACAATAATATGTAACTTTGGATCATTTTCCTCAATAAATCAATGAAGTATGTTTTTGACTCATTTGTTTACTTGGGTTCTCTATATCTAGTTTTAGGACTTGGAGAACAGATCATGTTTTAGGTCATATTTATGCAGAAATATTGAAAATTCAAAAGAGTTCACAAACTTTTAAGTACTACTGTAGCCCTATCCACTTTTCATCATTGCCCTCAACATCTCAAAACATTCATTGTGGCCCTGGCCATGAAAAGTTATCCACCTTTCATATATATATTTAACATACTAAATACAAAAACAGTTCTGAATAAGCAGTCTTCTTGGAGAAGGTAGGGAAAATTTATGTATATATCTGTAAGTATGCAACTGTGTGTACTGTGAACACAGTCTGTCTTGATTTTTCTACCTTTTGATTTTAATTCCCTAATCAGGAAAAAAAATGTATCAACAAAACAAATGTCTTATAGAATAGCTCACTATATTGTAGACAAAGATTGTGTTTGAATAAAAATGAGGAATTCAAGTCCTAAACCCTGTTCTTTTAGCTGAAGTAAGCTGTGGGTTAGACTAGAATACTTCCAAAGTCCCTCCCAACCTTATGATTCTATGATACTATAAACAAACCATAAATGGAAGCTTCCTTCACTGAGAAAAATGTTACTTTGTTTTATTAAAACATGAAGCATGACAATGGTTAGGAAAAAGTCTTATTGAACACTATGGATTACTAGTACAATTATATTGGAAATACTTTTCTTTACAGCTAGATGCAGTCTGAAGAAGTTAATTCTCACAGAAGTTAGCCAGTGGAGGAGTCTAGAAGCATTTGCTGTAGAGGTGATATGTATGGGAGAAGACTAAACCAAATTAGAGAGCAGAAAGGTATATACAAAAACCAGTTAGAATTGGGTGAGTTTCCAGACGCATAACTCCACAGATAAGTAAAGAATGAATGAAGAGGGGATCAGTATATCTGGAGGGTGCTATTCATGTGCCTATAATATGTAGATTAGTTTGATTAAAACTTCATTAACGCTTCCTGGTCATATACGATAATATTGGAATCAAGCTCTTCAAATGTACATGCTTGGAACATGAGGTGATTATAGATAATGCCCTAATATATGCTAAATTTTATGCAGGTATTATGCAGTCCATTTTAATGCTGTTATAGATATTATTTAAGTACAATAATAGTAATTCTTTTAATATGTATATTGTATCTAGTGCAGTGATCCAACAAACTCAGGTTTCTAAAAACTAAACTAGAAATTACATGATTTTCCCCCTATAGATTATTATAGAGGATGATAGGAATGTGAGATGTAGTTAACAGAAAGCACTTAAATGTTATTTCAGCAAACACAAATAGAATTTTTCACAGAATTCTCAAGAATAAATTGTACTGGTATAATCCTTTCCCAGTGCAGACAGATGAACTTTAATTTTAAACAACTACAGTAATAATATGGGAATTAGCTGGAAGACATACATCTGGGGAGGAAACAAGCGTGCTGTTAGAACAAGTAAGCTACGATTATGAACATGTCTGACAAAGCAGAATTTAAATTTATAAATTTACCTTCCAGTTTATTGTTTCAATGTTGATCTTTTTAGAATACAAAACAACTGGTAAAATTGGAGAGGGAACATTTTCTGATGTTCTGAAGGTACAGAGTCTAAAAGATGGACAATATTATGCATGTAAACAAATGAAACAGCATTTTGAAAGGTAAGTCTAGTTCTTTTCAATTTAGTTTCTTTGTTTAGCTTAACCTCGGTCTATAAATGTTTTGTTTAAATCTTCATTGTCACAAGTTGATTTTAAAACAAATTATATTTTTTGTAAATGTATATCTAAAATCTAGCAGCCTCGGAAGATTATTTTTGTCTGACAGGTCTTAATATTGGGCTTAAATAATACGAGTGTTTAAACTAGTAATTCTTAATCCTTGTGTACATACAGTACAGTGTACAGTAACTACAGCATTGTACAGAGATTTCCTTCTCTAGAGCTCATAATCATTGGAAGTAAGGGAGATGTGTATGGATATCATTCCTTGGAATTTATATATTAATTATTAAGATTATTTTATATTGTATTTTAATTGATTTTATCTCTTCTGTAAACTGCCCAGAGTTGCTTTTTAATGAGATGGGCGGTGACAAATTTGATATAAAAATAAATAAAGTAAATACCATCTTCCAGAAGTAATACCCATGCCACCATATAAAAAAACATAGAACTTTGCAAGTGTATCTAATACAGTACAAAGAGCTTTGGCCAGAAGAGAACTACAAAAGGTCACACTGCACTCATGCAAGCTGGTACGTGCACTAAGAGACTATTATAGCCTGTGCTTTGTGTGACTCAGGAAAATATATGCAGCAAATGGAAGTTGTTTATTTTTAACCTAATATTTTCTCCTAGTATTGACCATGTGAATAATCTGAGGGAAATACAAGCATTAAGGCGATTGAATCCACATCCAAATATCCTTACGTTGCATGAAGTGATTTTGTAAGTGATGCATGCCTTTTTTTCCTTTCCCATTTGTACCATACATGTAGATCATTATAGAGATGTTCAATTACTGTTTGTCAAATAAATCTCATTCTGAATAAAATAATTTTGAGGGAGGAACTTTTCACTGTGGAATGAGTTTTTTTTTTCATTTCCTGCACCTTTGCTCTCAAGATGACAGCAAGTAGGGAGTGGGTTGTTGGACTACTTAACTTTGGAGCCTAATTTGAGTTGAATAATGTATCTTGCTTAGTCACTGAGTCATCATTCTGTTCTATTGATAGTATGTGTTATGAGTTCTCAGGATGGATCTCGCAATCTATCTATAAAGGTTTTAAAGATTAGTTTTATTCTGTGTTCATAATTGGTCTCTGGCAATACTAATGGTGTCAGGGTATGATACAAGAGAAGTGCAATTAGGGGCTCAAGAACTGAAGCGTTTAAATAGCATTGTGTGGAATCCAGTCTCATTCCTGTAGGTGCTGACTTGAGATTTTACAGTGGGGGGTTATCTGAAGATATGTATTTTTAGATTCTGTTCATTGTGTTGTATGAAAAATCATCTCGGGTCACCTGCCTAATGGAGATGGTCAGTTGACAGTAAGGAATACTCTGAGCATGCTAACGTATTTTGTTACCCTAAAATAGAAATCTCACAATCCTCATAAATTCACACAACACATTTTCCCAGAGAACACATTTACTTGCCAGGACTTCACTTGTTCTATTTAACCATTTCTGAACAGAGAAAATATAAATCTTTTTATTGTGAAAAAAACAGAAATGTTTGAGGGAACATAATACCATGGTTCAGTGGCATCTGTGACAGGAGGAGGGGGGGCAGAATAAAAGCAGCACTGAGACAAACCCTTGGTACATAGGTCGTATTGTTGCATGCATGTTCGAAAGGGACAGATTTTTGTGGCACAACACTGCTTTCATTATTTTGATGAAAGCAACAGAATCTTGCAGATGCCCATGCCCAGTTCTTAGCTAGAAATAGGAATCTTTCTTCTCAGAGCAAGGCAGTTTCCTCTCCTAGTGCAGAATGTAGTAGTTCAGTATCAGCATGTAGAAGTGTACCAAGTTTAATCTTGACTTGTCCAGTTACAGTTACTTATCAAGTTACAGGGCTTGAAAAGATCCCCACCTATGACCACAGAACTGGTCAAGATGGGCTTATGATCTGATTTTATAAGGCACGTTTATGTGTTCATAAATTATTCTGTTGCTCACTTAAAATCTGAGTATTATTTCTGATCATGACAGAAACAATATACTATTGTCAGTAATCTCTAGATTGTGGCAGGCAAAAAAAATTAACAAACATTTATTTTTTGCTTTTTACATAATGTTCTAATTTAAAAAATATCCAGGTATAGCATGGGTTTGCTTTTGATTATCATGTACACAAGGGTGAGCAATTTGTAGGCCACACGAGATTAATAAAGGCTTGCCCTCTGCCATAGGTCCTTCCTCTTCTCCTTCATATCCCCACTATTACTATTGTGCTGGTAAAGAGGGATGATTTTCCTAATCACAATTGTCATTCAATAGTCCACCTATTAGACATTTCTTGGGTTATTGAGAAACTGATCCAGCAGTATAACAAAGTGCATGAGTATGAATCTCCTTGAGGGCCTTGTTTCCCAGAAGATTGGACTTCTGATTTTCTGCAAAAAAAGCTGGGGAAGTTGGTAAGCAATGATGAGGAAGAGGATATTCAAATAGAGTCATCCTCATAGTCTTCTCCGATATAATCTTTTTCAGAATCACAAGAGATGAGATGGGGAGATGAAGTTGATTTTCCTCTTTCCCCAGCAGTTTTGATGCAGCTGAAATTGCATGAATTCATGTGTAGCCCTGTCTGAGCCAATATGCCTATTATGAGAAAAAGGTTGCTTACCTCTGATTGATTGATTGATTGATTGATATATGCATGCATGCATGCATGCAGTGAGAGTGGCATATAACTGCTCTATTTAACATAGAGTACTTTTTTCATGTATACACAAAAGCAATGAAAAATACAGAAAATGAAAAACAGTAGTTGTAACCAATAATAGTAAATCCACTTTAAAATAAAATTGAAAAACTTATCCCATTCTTTAAATGCTTATACAGCTTCTTCTTCTTTCTTTCATATAGTTACATTAAAACCCACTTTTTTCTTTAGTGACAAGAAAGCTGGTGCTGTTGCATTAATATGTGAACTTATGGACATGAATATTTATGAATTGATCAAAGGTATGTAGAGTATACAATATCTGAAAATGTCTCTTGCTTAGATGCAATTTTTTCACAAATACAAGAGGTGGGTGTTCAGTATAACCAAGTATATTAAGTAGGACACTGCTGCATTTTGAGAAAAGATGTATTTTACTTGCAGTTATGGAAAACCCCTTCAGATTAATGCAGATGTAGATAGGATCTCTTTCTGGAGGCAGTTGATTTCCTTCAGAATAAGTTAAGGCAGAGAGAGGTTTTGGAATAGAGGCAAAGTACCTCCATATAATTACATATATTGAAGGAGAATGCTATCCTGAGAAAGAGGGGCCAGTCTGCAAGAAATTTTTAGAAGGAGAACATAGTTCATTAATCATTGAATATATTTGCTGTGTTAGGAATGGTTAAATATATGCCCACATCCCCACCATCAACCAAAGCCAAGGAAGTATAGATAGAGATAATTGTACGTCAACAACTGGAAAACTACTTCGCTGTGGTACATAATGGAGATTTCTGTTACAGCATTTCTATATGGAGTGAGGGCCTATTCTGCTTCCAGATACCTTACTCATGATTCAAAACCAATGGCTGCATAAAATACAAAAGCTAGTCCTGTTCTAAATTTTTCAGAATAGAAAACCATTGCAATTGATATAAGACTAGTACAATATAGTCTAAAAGGCATCCTGGCCCACTGTCTTTCATATCAGGTGCAATTTGCAAACCCTTTTCAAAGGCAGCCTTATGTAGAGCACATTGTAGGAATCTGATCTTGACACTGATTCAGATATGAGTCCTGTAGCCAGATCTGTCTTTTCAGGAAGAAATACCAATGATGCACCCACTGAAGGTCAGACAAGGTGCTCCTGAATAGAACAGCTTTAAATATCCAGGCTAGGTTAGGGGACACGGTTATAGGTCATAGGCAAACTTTCATAGCTATATTAAAAAATTAGTTAACTAGCCAAAGTCATTGCAAGCTCTTTTATTTTCAATTGATCTTTATAAAAAATTCTGCTAAACTTGATTTCCAAATTCCAGGAAGGAAAAAACCATTGCCTGAAAAGAAAATAATGAGTTATATGTACCAGTTATGCAAATCTCTTGATCATATACACAGGTAGGAAAGCTTTTTATTTACTTGCTTGCAAAAGTACAGTTTGGCTATTTAAATGGGCTGGAATCTCTAGAGACTCATTCATGTACTTAAAGTATATAAATGTGCCACAGGCTTTGACTTGCTTTTCCTTTCTAATTGCCATCTCTTCTCTGGAATATCTTCAGAACTTTATGGATAATTTTTCAGGAGGGGTGCAAGAATTTGTGTTGAAACTGAATACTCCCAGGGCTCGTGTGGCTTTCTGCACCACAGCCTAGGTATAAAAATACTTACATTTCCCTTGATTTTTATCTTGATGCAGGAATGGAATATTTCACAGAGATGTGAAACCTGAAAACATATTAATAAAGGTATGTTGTCTTTGGTAATTTTATAGCACAAGCAATATGAATGTACCAAAATTCTTATGTTTCAAAATGTTTGTTCTAGGACTGGTATTTGAATATGCATCTTGCTTCTATAGGAAAAAGTACATTTCAACTTTCTGATGATTAACTATCAAATACTTACTTTAGATTTAATATTGTCTTGCTTTTTAGCATCAGTTATTTTTTTATTACTCATGGAAAACAATAAGGTATCTTTTTAGACAAGTCAATCTTTTTTGATCCAAGCTGTAAAAAATAAAATTTGATTTCTCTTGAGTACCTTCTGCTAGAAATTCTCTGAAGGCTTAATGTTCAAGACTACAGGTAGTCCTCACTTAACAACGGTAATTGGGACAGGAATTTCCATCACTAAGCGATGCAGTCGGGAAGCACGACGTCATGTGACTGCATCACTTAGCAACAGCAATCCCAACATTCCCTGTTGCCTTTGTTAAGTGAAAATCGCAAGTTGTTAAATGAGGAACCTCACATGACTGCGACTTGCAACTTCCTACTGGGTTCCCACAAGCAAAGGCAATGGGGAAGCTGGCTGGAAGTTGAAAATTCTAGGCAGCTTGCCAGTAGGCTGGAGGCCGGGTGAGTACCACGGAGTGGGGTGTGTGTGCTACAGTGAGTATATGCAGGCTGGGGAGGGGATGCTCCAGTGCAGCATGAGTGAGGGTGGGCTGGGGAGGGGGTGCTGTGGTGCCATGTGAGTGGGCTGGGGAGGGGATGCACATTATGGAGTATAAGATCCCTGGGATCTCATACTTTGTAGTTGGGCTCCTCAGGAGAAAGAGCAGCAGGAGCAACCTGCAACCTTCTCTGCTGGCTTTACAGTTGATTTTGCTTGTGGGAAGCCAACAGGGAAGGTTGCAAATGGTGATCATGTGACCGTGGGAGCTGCAACCATTGTGTGAGCTGGTTGCCAAGTGCCCAGATTATGATCACATAACTGCAGGGGTGGTGTGATGGCTGGAACTTGGAGGACCAGTCATAAGTACCACTCGTTCAGCACTGTCACAAATTCAAACAGTCACTGAACAAGTGGTTGTTAACCTAGGACTATCTGTATGTACTTTTACATTTATTCCAAAGGCCACCTTGTGGCTAAGGATTCAAAAATCAGTTACTGCCCATTCAGAACATTAAAAAAAATCAGTCCTTTGTTTATAAATAGAACAGCTGAGGTTGATATTAAGATTTCTTAATTACATCTTAAAGTATCCAGTTCATTATTTGTAAATATCATTTTAATGCCTGTTCATTTGAGATGCAAAAATTGTCTTATTGTAGCAGGATCTTCTCAAACTTGGAGATTTTGGATCCTGTAGGAGCATACATTCTAAGCAGCCATATACAGAATATATCTCTACACGCTGGTATAGGGCACCTGAATGTCTTCTTACAGATGGTTTCTATAGTTACAAAATGGACATCTGGAGTGCTGGCTGTGTGTTTTATGAAATTGCAAGGTAGGTTATTTATCAGAAGGAAAGTGATGGTCTGACTAAATTAAAAAGAATTAGGAAACTCTTCTGAAGTATAGGTTTATACAGATGGTATGAGATAGTTATAGGCTGAAATATGGAAAGATATGGGGAAGATTTGAAGCTCAAGGGTAAAGCGCATGTTTTACAGGGAGAAAATTCCAGTTTAAATGTCTGCATTGCTAGTCAGCGCTTTGCATAATGGCACTGGGAAAGCCATTTAACACTTTGAAGAGCTGCTGGGCAAAATGGACTTACAATCTATCTCAATAAGAAAGGTCTGGGTATTTGTCACTTTTTGTTAATCATTGTGTTCTTATCTGGCAAGGAAGTCCATTGCTGTAACTAAGGGGTTTGTGATTCAGTATTAGGTGCTTCAGCTCAGCATGAAGGGTACAGTACAGCAGCATTGCTGCAATATATCTGGATCTAGTCAATGGTTAGAAAGGTGAACATCAGCAGCTTAATGAAGGAAAAATAATTTGCATAATGGCATTGGGAAAGTCTATTTTGAAGACTAGCTGAGAATCCTAATATGCTGCCCAGGCCCCAAAAGTGACTATGTTATCTGGCTTCAAGCAGTAGTAAATATGTCTCTGAGGAAGACACTTGAGACAAGGCCATGCCATGTGCATATTAAGTTGAATTTTGGGGATTATAGGCTTTAGCAACAAACACTTCATTTCTGGCTGATAAAATATTTATGCTTCAGTAGCTACAGGCTAAATTGTACAGAAAACATTTTTCTATAACACTTTTGTCTCTTTTGAAGCTTTTTTCTTTTCATTTTGAGATATGTTAAGTAATACACAGGTGGGAAATGGGATTAATGACAGTACATTTGATTTAAAAAAATATTACCTGGCATAATGGCAACGAATATTATTTAGGACTGAGGATGAACAATGTCCTCATAACAAAAAGTTAAGCTTGTCAGAGTTGAGTTTTCACCACATTACCAATTATATTCTTTGTTTCCAGTTTCCATCCACTCTTTCCTGGATCTAATGAACTTGACCAAATATCAAAAATCCACGATATCATAGGTACTCCTCCTAAGAAGATTCTTAATAAGTTCAAACAGTAAGTGCAGTTTCCCTTGAGATTTATTAGCCCATTATAAGTTAGTTTGCATAAAATTACTTCAGAAGAAGTGTATGTTTATTACTTTACAGCTGACCAGAGTCAAATCTAACATAGCATGTAACCTGGGTCTACTCAGAATTCAGAGCTACAATCATAACCATGAACCATGGTGTTTTCATAATGTATTAGACTATTTTGTATTGCTGTTCCCTTGATAAATGCTTCTAGCTCTTCTTGCAAGTGTCACAGAAACTTGAAAGAAGCTGTAGGGAGTCCCCTTTGCTATAAATGATTACCTTCTTTGGTGAATCTTTGGCTTTTAATAAAGACACATTCAAATAGAGTTTGAAACTTGGTAGGTTTTTTTGGACAAGTATTGATAATTTTCTTGGCAATGTTGTGGAAGTGATTTCTGAGTCTTGTATGTAGACCTGTATTTCCTGTTGGTCTCCTATCCAAGTTACTGATCAGATTCAACTCTGTTCAGTTTTCAAGATAAACTAAGGTTGTAGATGCTGTCACTTAGCTGGGCTGCTGCTATCTAGCTAGGATTATCTAGTTTTACTGAACAAATTTTTAAAGGATGTTTATTATTAAGCGTCCCTTTTATTCCAGAGAAGCAATATTCAACGATTATCACCTGGATGAACTGGAACACAAAGTTTAAAGTTACTTTGACTTCCCATGTTCAGGTGAGGGTAGTATCAGTTGGACCTGAAGAAAACCACAGTGATGTCATGGCATCATCATCATACAAATCCAGCCTTACGTACTTGTGTCCCAACATCTGACAAGTATTAAACTGTAGCATTTGCATGATGATATAGTCACACACATGCAATTTGCCATATGTGGATGACCACAGGGACAAGGAATGCTTTGAAACCTGAAACTTTCATTTTAAGTTCTTTAGTATCCTTCCAATACCAATAAGGCTGATTCTGCTGACAGGAATGCATTTTCTTTCACTGGATTTATGCAGGTCAAGAGTGATGAGTTTTGATTTTCCCACCAGAAAAGGAAAAGGAATCTCTCCATTTATGCCTAACTTGTCCAACAAGAGCCTGACACTTATGTATGCAATGATACAGTATGATCCTGATGAAAGGATCTGTGCGCATGAAGCACTGCAGCACCCTTACTTTAGAGAGCTGAGGTAAGGAAATATGAAATGAAGCTTGATTTTGAATCAATATTCAGTTGAAAATGTTTCTAGCCTGCTAAGATTTAAAATACCTAAGCTTGATAATTCTGAATCAACTAAACTGAAATTTAAGTTAATGCTTAGAGTTAGGCATTTAGCATTTGCATTTCACGTCATTGTTTAATATGACTAAGGGAGGGAAGTGAGTGGTTTGACTGTCTAATTGATGGAAAAGAATTTCAAAGGTTGTATATGAGATTCTGTCTGATTTACACTGAACAGGTTGGCAGAGAAACAAGCTTTAACCATACACCGAAAAATGAGATTAGTAGGAAATCCATTAGAAAGGGATTCTCTTGGTTTGCGGCGTATTTCAAAGGAGGATCAAAGGCAGGTAATCTTTAAATCAAAGACTAAGTAATAAACCTATTTAATTACTGCCATTTTTGTTCATACACTTATAGAACAATTCTGTGTCAATTTTGCTGCTTTGATTATGTGAAAACATGCTTGAGAATTCTTGTATCAAAAAATTCCAGGATTTTTATGGATTTTTGCTCTCTCTATTGGACATCTAAATATGATTTACAGGTTCAGAAAGGTTTTGTCTAAATTTATACCATTATCTCTTATGCAAGCAATGCACGGAATAGTATGGTAGTCTAGCTTTAGATAACCTACTTATGGCTCCTGACTTTTTGTAGTGGTTCTGTGAGGACAAAGTAGTGCTGAAATTAACTAGTCACACACTTTTCCTGGAAATTATCCAATTTACATCTAACTTAATGCAATCAATATATAATAATTATGAAGTATCTGATTCTGCCATCTTCCCAAACAGTTGTTCTGGGAATATTAAGGGTATCAACAAATCCATTCAGTAATTCCCAAAGATGATTTTGTGTAAATTCATCCTCTGTCCCTCATCCCACCCACCCCCCAAAAAGAAAAAAATCAGAATCACAATTTGGGGACAAAAAGTAATTAATTCCAGTAAATTCCTGCATTTTGTTGCAGAGTTCTTGAGATATCAGATTTAAGCTAGCAGTACCACATTCCTAGGGTTTATCCAGTTCTTTGTAAAATCTACTGGATGTTCCTTGTCTTGTTTACACACTCAAGGAATAAATTTTGATGCCAATAGCAGAACAAGAAAGGAAGGAAATTGTGTCATTCTAAGGCTTATCTGAAGTTTCTAAGTTTTTAAAGCCCAACTTTACAAATAAACCATCAAAGACAGTTTTCCAAGCAAGTATCCACTTTCAACATGCATCTTTGAAAGTCTTTGAAAAACAGTGGAATGTAACCTTTGGATACTGTTTTCAAAATAGCTATGCTATAGTTGCTACCGTTTAGCCCTCTCCCCCCTTATTGATCTAACTGTATATAAAGGCTTCCACTGATATTGTACTTCCATCTGATGAGTTCATTCGAAAGGCAAGCAGCATTCTTCCCTAAGAAACATTTGGGGGGAAGTTAACGTATATTTGGGAGTAACTGCAGAAGTGGCAATATCTAAACCAACCTAAAGCATATGTGAGGGGGATCAAACACATTTAGCCTACATAAAATTATTTTTAAAAATTGAACTTGTATTTTTATTTTAAAAGAACTTTCTTAGGCAAGCCCAGGAGAATCCACTGGGACATCATGGACTTCCCAATGCAGTTGAGTTGCCAAAACTGACAGTTCCTGCTGTAACCAACTTGACTTCTTACCCTAATCCTTCATTTCAGTCAGTTTTTACCCTCCCAGCATCCAACAGACAAGTCCAGGTTTTGCAACCTATAACATATTTTGGGACACATCGCAAGGTAATTCTACCTTGCTTATTAGATTACATACTATTTTGTACAAGTAGATTATAGCCCATTTTAACTTCTGTTGTCTCATCAACAGTCTGAAAAACGGAAGGAATTTAAATCTCCTATGAAACAGTACCACTTGCCTGCTCTGGAAAGACGAGATGGAGGATTTTGATGGATCAAAACTCTCATGAACTCTCTGGATTCTTTGAAACAGTACACAAATGGCGATAGTGCCTTATCACCTCAAATGCTGCAAGAAGATGCTACAACAATCATTCTTTGGGACTTACACTTTTTTTTTTAAAGCCAACTATGTAACCACCATTTTTATAGCTCAGAATGCACTTTGATTTTTTTTTTAAGAAGTTCCTGCTATTTTTTAAAAAAGTTTTCTTTTAAGGTGATCATATATTTAATTGTGTTGCACTGGCAGGAATGAATTGTTACAACTTTTATATTAAATACTGCATTGTGTTTTTTTTATATATCTCTCTCTCTCTCTAATAAAACTGAATTTCTTGGGGGGAGGTTGTATATGTACCTATAGGGATAATCAGAGCCAATCTTCTTTGATAATCATTTAGAAGCTTCAAAACTTAAGTCTTAAGGTTAGTTTAATTTAAATATTACCTAGTATAAAAAACTGTTTTCCAAAACAAGTAATGTAAATTAACAGGTTTTTGCGTGGATGGCAGATGAAAAAGATTAATAGTTGTTACTGAAATGTGCTCTTATATGGAAATCTGAGCAGTGTAAGCATGTTTCAGATGATGTAGTTTGTCACACTGACATAGCTGAATGTAGAACATTGGTTCTGAAAAGGCCATGATGTTTGAAACTTTGGTGGAGGGAGTAACCCACTCTAAAGGGCATTTAATTTAGCTTTTCAGAGGTATCAGCAAAAATAAAATCACATTTTAAAAATAAGTTTATTAAAAGACTAAGAGGATTTTTATAGGATTGTAAGATTAACTACACTGTCCTCTCACAAAGCACTGTCAAATACCATCTCTATAACAAGAAAAAAATGGTGTATTGCACTAGAGTGAAAAATACTGATAGATCTTACTTGACCAAAAGTAATATAACAGATGCACCTTAAACAACATCCAAATATCAGTGCTTCAAAACAAAATGGCAAAATGAATAGCTAAGACTGGACTGTATCTTAGAGGAGGTCAACCACAATGGTATAACTTGCTGAAAAGTCACAAAGAGAATACAAATACAATACAATACATAAAGCAAATATTTAAAAGTGCTGTATTTTTCCGCTATGCAAAAACAATCATTTGCTTGGGCATTCGGTAGCCATGCTGAGTTGGCTGGATGTACTCTTGCCATTATTTATATTTTTGTTCAAACCAAACTGGGAGGGATTGATCTACTGAAGAATTGTGTAGACAAAAGATGAAGGGATTTTTGCTGGTTTCTCTTCATCACTTTCCATACTATCCCACAGAATCCTCCAGGTCTTCAGGACAAGGTTTTCTTTTGGGAAGGACAGGGACTTAATTTGAAATGGAGAATTTGGAGAAAATTATTTTTCATACCCCCCACTTCCCAAAAAAACTCTAGCAGGAAATTCTGAGTGGAATTCTCAGATGTAATCTGGATCTCAACCTATAAATGCTAAGGACTACAAACAAGAATGGAAAAAAAATCCTTTTAAGAACTTTCATGTTCATAATGCACAAGCATTAATATTTCATACATTTACTGGCTTTAGTCATATTCAGAATATTGGAAACTTGTTCTAGGATTTTGTAATTTAAAACAAGGCACCTACAGTATTGAATAAAGTGCAATGCAATTTGAATAAAGAGTTAAAATATTGTAGAGTCTCTAGTCAATTTCCAAACTTATAAAAGAATGTTTCAGTTTAATTATTACATGTTTAATTTAATTTTATTATTTTACTCAATGAAAAGCAGCCAGGTTGACTTCAGAAGTCTGAAAGCTCTCTTCAAATAGCCAAAATATGGAGGTGTTTCCTGTTAAGAGCACTTAAGGAAAAGAAAAGGATGGTCAAGCACAGATTTTGCCTGTTGACATGCAGAGTGTCACACGTAGAAGGTGATGGCAAAGCCTTCTGCTTAATATCCCAAAGAGGCAATACCAGGCTAAATAGACCCAATACTGAACAAGTCTGATCTGGTAGAAGGACATACTCTCTGATTTCATCCCTGAAATAAATTACAACAAAAAGCCCTTGTACTTCACACACGCTCACATTATTCTCTCCAGATATGCATAATTAGCAGAAGCCCATTGTATTTCATTGGAAACTAGTTCTGAGATTCTTTTCACATTATCACATGTTGAGGACAATTTACCTGACAATTACTTTTAGAAACAAATGGGGCAAACTCAGAATCTCTGCTGCTTTTAGATACGCTTAGACATTTTTCAATAAGGCAATCTCTGTTCACATATTGATTGAATAGCTTCTAATACAGTACAATGTAAACACTTGAATTGCATGGAATTGGCTAAAAACTAGTTCAATGTTAGAATGGGATCAGCTAGTTCAATGTAAGAATATTGCTTACATTGCTCAATTTTAGCTTTGGAATATTTTTCTTTTAAAAAGTTTGTACATTTTATAATTGCAAAGGTAGTAGAAGGTTGGCTGCATATAACTTCCCAATGAAGAAATAGAAAGTTCTGCACAACTGCTTGAGAGTGTCAGGCATAGTGAGAAGAAACAGGCAAGTTTCCCCAAATTTTACTGTTCAGCCTTTTAATGTTTTAGCATATCACTATCAGGAAATCTACCCATATATTTGACAAGAAGCTAGATTTTATTTTGTAAAATCTGTAATTTCATACTTGCTTTCCAAAACTCAGGACTCTTTTTCAGCACTAGGCAAAGTTGAGCACAGGCAAGGGTTTCCCCTCTCCCCCTACACAAAAATATCACAGTGATTACTTGACACTTGTTTAGACTAAAACTATAACACAGATTCTCTGCATTTTTCAGTTTGTGTTCCTTAAATATCAGGACTATTACTGTTTTTAATGCAGATTTTTCTTTTGCTTTCTAGTTTCAAAGCAAGTTTACTACAGAATTATTTTTTAATTTCATTTCTAAAGTAGATGGTTTGGTTGAACCATTTATGAAGTGTTTCTTGCTTCTAAAAGTATAATCATACATACCGATTTCCAGACTTGGCTCACAGCGGCAGAAAGGGAAGAAGCAATTCTGTGATGACTGCCCTCCCCCAAATACATTTTTGCAGAGAAAGACTCAGCAAAAGCAGCCCCTTCTGCCTCCACAGGATGAAATGCCTTCTGTGGAGAGAAACATTGTGTTCACAGTTAAATCCAAATTTTGGGTTTTAAGCAGCTGGTTCACACACTGCTAAGCCATAATATGGTTTATGTAGTTTTGGCTTAGCATGATGTATGAATCCTGCCATTATAGTATATAATGCATGTTTAAGGCTTATCATTGTGTGAAGCAAGCTACAGTACTATGATTTGTTCTTAAGGCATAAAAATGTCTTGCCTGTATCTTAAACCTGCCAATGCACAGGAGTTAAAACGGTACTTTTATTTTGCTTTCACTAGCACTTTGTATTATGCAGTCAAAAATAGCCTGGTACTATTTAGCTATTTCCAACTGATTTTAAAAGCTATAAGCTACAAAACACTTTGGGGTATGATAAAGGGCTGATATGCAGCCCAACCTAGTAATATACTACAGGTACTACTGAAACTCTGTTTCAAAGAGTGCGAGGGGCAGAGTCTTAAAGATACGGAGCTACAGAATTTTAGATCCAACAAGTAGCAGGATTACCTGCACAAACGTTCATATACATGAAACCTAGAACCTTGAAACAGAATAGGATTTATTAAAAAGCGCTCTGTGAATTGTGGCCTTTAGCAGTCAGCATTTTCTTTCGGTATCCAGAAGGTGAGGAGACTACATTGCAGCCACAAGTATTCCAATAAACTCTTTGCTTCCCCAGTTCTGCTGCTTCAGAACAGCCATCAAATGAGGGATTGACATGCCCCTATAACATCTCTGCCCAAGAAAACAAAACATCAGGGCTTTCGACAGAGGTGGCAGGGGCAGGGTGGGGGGGAGACCAGATGAAAGCAGCGTTGAACAGTTGCAGTGCAAGCTCTGCCCCTTTTGTATGTGCATCATGACATTGCAGGCTTACAGAAAAGGGGCAGGGCTTGCTTCATAACGGCTCAGTGCCGTTACAATTTTGACAAGCCTATGATCCTCTGGAGGCTTCTTGATTTGATCTCCAGAGGAATCCTCAGCCACGAAATTCCACTATCAAGCAGGCAGCATTTTCTTCAATAAATAAACTGAAGGGGATTCTTCAGATTTCAGTGTGTTCAAAATTAGTTTAATAGTAACTAACCAAGCAGCAATTTGATTATGTAGACTCTCATATTTATCCTCCAACAAGGCATCCATTTTTCATTGAAACAGGAGAACTATGTAGTTTGGCACATTATTCTACAGTGGCAACCTACTTTTGTTACAATAATTTTAAATAAACATTTTAGTGTTTCTAATCACATTAACAGATATTAAATTATGGTTTCCCAATGCATGAAAATGGCAACTACCACGGTTAATTAACATATATTTAAAAAACTAGGCTTAAGAACTGTGTAGTGTTCTAAAGCATACTGAGGAAAAGCTGTTTAGAATAAAGTGCAGGAAAATAACACCTACTAATAAAAGCCCAGTTCAATAGCTACTAAATCTGACCTGAGTGTTTTTCAGAAATAACATCTTCTACAAGAATCATGTCCATACCAAAAATATTACATTCAAAAAGTTACATCAAAGATGATTTAATTTAAACAGAAAGTAAACAAAACTGCATATTCAAGATAGTTTAATATGTATTTTCTGAATTAGAAATATCACTTTCTTAAATGATTAAAATTACTAGTGTAATGACTGATTTCCCCAATCACTGAATTACATTATTTACACATATAATACAGATTGACTGTAGCTGAAACATTATTAAAATAAAATGTTTGATACAAAGGATTTGTTTCTTTATAACATAACTTTAGAGGGTGCCCAAACACCCATTTAAAAGTAATTATCCACTAGCATTATGCTATTTAAGTGCAAACAATCTTTTTAGAAAAACGTATGATTGCAGCATCCATCTTCCTGAATTACATTTGTGAAGCCAGAAAGTAATTACTTTAATTTCCCATGAGAGCTTTCCAGGTTAACCATCTCTGGTTTAAAAAAAAAAGCAGTGCAAAGAAAAAAAACCAAACAGTAATATTCTAATTTATAACACCATTAAACTTACTTGGATTTAAGAAACATTTTATTTTACACGTTTGAATGTGTGTGGATGTAGGTATATGATTAAATTACACTGAGAAATATAAAGCAATTACTATTTTTAATTGTAGCACCAAAAGAAGCATTTTTAAGCAAAATTCTTCCTTAGGTGAGCAGCCTCAAAGTATTAGATGTAAAAATATAACTCATTACAGTATTATTTTGTAAAACACTATGTGATTCACATAACATTCTGCCTTTAAGAATTTGTGATGCTCTCTGGCTGAACAGCAGCTCCTGGTTCCATTGTCATTACTTCTTGTTCTGTGTTCAAAGGTTTGCTAGGAGGAGTGTGATGGCTATACTACAGTTCCACTTGGAGAATTGGCCTGGTTTTGGGATGGCAATACACCCTGCAAACAAAGCAGTTTACATTAATCCAGCAAGAGAATCCAACATTTAGTTTGCTAAACACTTATGTTCGCGACTTTTCTTGCAGAGTATTTGCATACTCAACTTATAATTGTAGATCACATTGTTCAAAAAAATTTAGTGAATAATTTCACTCAGATATAGCAAAACAACTTCCAAGATTTAGGGCATGAACAGAAGATCAAGGCAATAACAGCTGTAGTCTGGTATAAAACGCAAGAAGTCTTACAGCATCATGAAAAGAACACTGGTGCAAGCTTTCCCAAGCTGACTTCAGAAATATCCTCATACATCTCACAGTAAACTCTTATAATAGAGATTTCATGCTACATTAAGTGTTCCGTTTATCAGTGTCACAGAACACTTGGGCTTCTTCACACAGAAAATGTGATAAAACTGCACAGAATAGTTCACCTTATACAGTATTTTACAAAGCTAGGAAAAGGAAGTGAACTACAAAGTGTGTCTGCATTATGAGCCCTTCGCTGGGAAAAATTAGTTATTTGGTGATGTAATTTGTCCTTTCAGATACTAATACTTCTTGCAGTTTATAGTTTGTATCCATAAAATATAATTTACTCATAAGTAATTTTATCAGACTGAGATGTTTATTAATGAATGGGTTTCCAATCTGATGCCTGAAATAGCAATTTGAAGATTCTCAGCCAATTTATATAATCTTTGGACAGGAACAGATGCTTCAATTTTTTTTTTAAGGTGAGGAAGGTAAAAAATTCTGGCTCTATTTTTTCACCTGACAAATGCTCTGATTGTTCAGCAGATCAAAAGGTCCTATGTAATTCATTCAGATATTACATGGAAAATCTCAAGATATGAGCCATTTTAATGAAGAATGCTCCTCCATGAATGGGACATTAATAGGCAACTCTGCCCAAGATTTGATGTGAACTATACTTGCAGTCCACTAATTTTTAAGCAACTGATATGTCATATTTTCCTCTGACAACTGATTTTGTCTTCAGTTTATGATTTAATAAGCCATAATTTTTGAGATCAGAAACTGATTCCTGAAGTTGACAACATAGGTTTAAAAATGTAAGAGCCAAATTTCTGATTTGCACACAAGCCTCTGACATTTCACAGATCTGCACATAACATTAAAATATACTCCAAAAAAGCATTATTTTAACTGTTTGTGGGTGGGTGGGAATCCTTCATATTCTAAAAAACTGACTTTCCAGATATTTTTCTTAACTTTGCATCATACAGCTACAGTTGGTCACACTCAAGATTAAAGTCCACTTGTAATGTAGAATTAATTACATCTTTGGAATCTACAGGAGCTCTTTCTTGCTCTCTCCCAATACTGATAAAATGCTAAGAAACAAACAGTTTTTGAAACAAGATTTCTACAATGAACAACTGCCCTAAACAAGCCAAGCCATCAGAATCTATTTTGACACATTCAAACCCCAAAGATCTAACAACTGTTTTTAGCTAAGATGCTATTTCTGGCAGAGGCCAACAAAAAAGATAAATTGGTTTAGTCCACACCCTATATATTTTAAGGCCTGCAGTAAATAATTCTGCTAAGCATTCTTTATATTATACAATAATGCTTGACACATTAGAAATTCAGCATGGAACTTTAATCTTAATACTAATGTTTAAAATTGGCAGAAGGTATCATTAAGAATGAACCCACTTTTTAAAAAAGTATAGCATGAACAAGAATTCAGTAGGAGAAATGAAAAATAAGCAAATATGAAATCAGATGCAATCTGTTTGTTAAACTGATCTAAGTAATGACAGCAACTTCTGCAAGCTCCCTCCCCTAAGTAAAATCAGTGCTAACAGACAACTGAATCTTGTGAGAAACAGACATTATTGTACAATTAAGAAATTTATTTCCAAATTCCCTGCTCTCAGATATGATAACAAACAATGTAATTGTATTATTTCCCTATTTTCTCAAACTAAAAAATAAGACATGTTTAATACCACTAAGCAAAAGCAACTGAACACTCTACCTCTTACTCTTGGTATATTTTAAATTATTTAAAACGATTATTTCAGAACTTTAGTAAGTGTAGCAAACAGTAGGATCCTTGTTATTCTAATACATATATGCTTATAAAATAGTAAAATTAGCTTATAAGTGACAAAAATTAATAATTAAATTCCATAACCCATTTCTGCAAAAAAATGTCCTGCTCCTCATTCCCCCAGTTTTAAAATTTCTGAACACCTATTTTTGCAAAAGCTGTGCACACATGTATATTTGTAAAAATTGCCAAGATTTGTTTAAAATCTTGTATCATATTTTGTCAGAGTATAAGACTATTTATTTACTGTAAAACATATTTAAAGACAAATTTAAAAGATCACTAAGAAGTTCCAAACAGGCCAGAAGAAATCTTAATTCAACAATTCAGCTGAAAACACAGGTCCATGAAAAATCAAAGAAAATACTTGCACATTAGTTTTAGCTGTGCCCTTTCAAACATATTATTCACTATTCAACTATCAACAGATGCTAATACACCCTCTCCTTGTTTCGCAACCTCAATTCTTTCCATAAATTGGAAGGAAAATGGTTGCTAAGCAAACCATGATTGAGAGATAGAGATGCTGCAATGATTGCAGGTTGCTGCTGTCTCATTTAGATAAAGTTCTTTCGTGCGGCAATGCCAGCATTACTCTCACTGTGGTGTGCAATGTTGTCAGGCCCAGAAATTTGATCGTAAGTGCACGCACTGGTTGGAAAATGAATTTTTAAAAATGTATTACCATTGTATTTGCGAATGGTCACTAAATGAGGTAGCAATAAATGAGGAGTGGCTGTATCCTCAAAGAAAATTGAAACAGGAATAACATTCTGGCCATTCATCATAATTTACAACAGCAACCTTGATGAGAAGTTCCAACTACCTCTACTTAGAATTTTAACTCCAACATCATTCAGCCTCCATATAAGAATTTCTGTTCTGGGAATAGGAATTAGTTTTCAAAGTTGTACATACAACCTGAAGAAAGCATAGGAACTGGCACCTGTAAGGATGAAATTAAAAGCATTTTGAATTGCTTATACTGTACTCTTACTGGAGCCTTTCTTCTGATTCTGATAAAATATCTATCATGGAAGATTAAACAAATTCCACCCATTAGAGGTTTTAAAGTACACCCTCCTTAAGCTTACTGAAAAAGGAGCAACACAATGGAAGTGTGAATCATCACATTCTCCTCAATATCCACTTCAGCTAAAGTACAAAGTAAGTTAGCTTACTTTTTTTTTTCAGCTGAGCATTTCCTAGTGCACATAATAGTAGTAGGCAGTATCTGAGGATACAGTAGGCTTGCATGCTTAAAATACAGATCAGAGATGCACTTAATATTTACTATGCACGCTAAATACACTAAAAATGTTTTCCAGATCCTTCCCACAGAGAACATAAACAAGAAATAGTTTTTATTAGAACAACTTCTTCATGTTAAATGAGTTCACTTTTATGCATGGCAGAAGGAAAGTAAGACATTTAGCTGTGAAAGGGAATTAGTAGGACATGGCACATTGACTCTCTTGAGATGGCATAAGTTAAAGGGACAACAGTATCTTCTGAATCTATTCTTTTTCATATATGCTTATCAAAGCACTCTTCATAACTTATCTTCATTTAGGGAAAAGAATGTTACAATTCAATACTATTGTTTTTTAAAATCAAGTATAATTTTTTTAAAACCAAGTATAATCACTGATAATGATTGATTCTGCAAAGCTCAACAAATAAAAAACATGCATGCAGTGTGCTGGGTAAGTCAAGTAATTTTCTTGGTCAAATAAATATTCCAGTTGAAGAAGCAGTAAGATTTAAACAAAAGATTATGCAGATAGGTGGGTCTCTCCCTTCACACACAAATAAGGATAAAGAAGTCTGATAACATATAAGAACAAAAGAACAATCTTAATTTGGTCTAAGATTAGGGAACTTGTCAATTTAACATTAAACAAACTGTCAGTTTTTAGACTTCTGAAAGACGATTCCACTCCTAAAAGTAATTAACTGCATGTGTTTAATTCATAAACCAGATAACTGTTGGTTCACTTTTAAAAGGTCTAATCCCATATAACTAGACCTGTGTTTTATAATATGTCACAGCGATAGCACTTATATGGTAAATATACATGATCTCTACATGTAGGGTATCACAACACAGTGTTATTAATTTAGGAGAATGCAGCACACTCCCAAGAGCAATCATAGTATTTACAAACCTTAGTGCTTTTTTCCCATTGTTTGTCACCTCTGAAAGCTCTCTGGTTTTTGTAACTTTCAAAACACAGAACAATCCATTTTAATATTAATCTAAATAATCTTCACATACCATCCCTGTGGAATTATATATGAAAGATGTATAGTTAGAATTTAGGCACAAGGTAAATTTTACTATTGTGACAAGCTAAAACAAAGTTCCATCTAATGTTAGGTGTTGTATGTCAGCAGGAAGAAAATTTCTTTTTATTCACCTGTGAGTTTTAATAGTGCCTTCTAGTGTTTATACCACAATAGTGAACAGAGTTAAGTACTACAAAAAAGAATAGATTACTAGTAAAGCTGGTTATGTTAGATGAACAACTCTGAGGGGAAAAAAACAGAAAATGTGTTTAAGAAATTCATCCTGAAAGTACCAGTTTGAACTTTAGTTTCCAAATGATTAAAGCAATCCAACTGAAAATAAAATTGGTCAGCAACATCTAGCAATATCAGCAATCCATATGAAAACGTATATATATACTTAAGTATATATATATACTTAAGATTCTGCCAATTTCAGTTTTAGATTGCCTGTTTATGCACCTAATTCTGATAAGCAACTCATAGTGCTTAACTAATAATGTTGATAAATAAAAGAGCTCCTATAGAATCCAGAAGATATCAATTTTCCATTTCAATAGCTCTTTATAGGATTTAGATAACCATCTTCACTCCACAGTTCTGTAATTTAAACTGGAAATACTAATATATCAGATGCACTACATATTCCTTCAATTAATTATAACTGAACAGGACATATTAGCATAATAAAAGAGTAATAGTAAGAACTCTTAAACCAACATTTGAGATGGGTATGAAATACTCAAGAGATTGTATATCATTCATTTAGGCTCATTTATAAAAAACGCAGTTACAGAAGCAGCGGTTACAGTGGCCAGTTTTTCAGAAAGCCGCCTGTTGCATTTAGTGAAGTATCAGCTGTGGCAAAACAATATTGCAACTTCAGGCATGAGAAGCACTACTGACAGTTAACTATATTTTACAATTCAGTCTCATTTTTTATTTAATGTCAGTATACAGAGGATAACCCCGGTAAGTTGTAACGTCAAGTATTTAGTAGGGTTCTTCAGCTGAAACAGTGACATAAAATGCTAAAAAATAAGCAGTATGAAACAAACATGATTTTTAAAAATTATAAATATATGAACAATACTTATTAAAGCTTCATTATTATTGCAACAGTCAATTTAGTTTAACAATTTGTTATGTTAGAAAGGCTCTTATGAAATTTATTTAAATTGCCAAGAAATCAGATGGACGTTTATAAAGAAAATACATATGAATTTACTGTTGATTTTCACTATATCATTACAATTTTGTACAGTATAACCTAATGTGTCAATCTTAACAAATTCATGTATACAGATTTCATAAATGCAGGGAAAAATCTTGCTTTTAAACTTTATACAAGTTATATGACAATAAATTAGCTGGTTTTCTTTCTTTCAACACAAGCAGGCCAGCGTTATTCTTTAGTAGCTTTAAAGTGATAGAAGGGAGACATACATGGTCTTTTCAAGTACATTACTGAGTTCCAAAAGATCAAGCATTTCTGAAACGTTTTAGTGTGACTCTTTTCTTTCTAATTTGGATATCCACATAAGGCAATTACACTTTCTTAGTTTCACAGAAGGAACTGGCTAATTTTTGACTGGGTATAATTAATCAACCCACATTCATTCATCCCAATAACTATGTATAAGAACATTTCAAGGAATCTTCGGATCCTGTTTAAATCATTAAATCCAACATTATGCGAAACATAGCTAGCACTTCCCCATAGCCCTTTATATTTCCATTCAATAAAATGATCTTTGCCAATGAAAAATTAGTTTCAGTGCAATTTATCATGCTCCAATGCTGCTATACTACAGTTGCTGTTTATTGGAAAAACGTTCTATAATTTAAATCTAATTTTTTCTTGTACAATATGATTCAAATAAATATTGTAAATTTCATGTGCATTTTATTATATAAATTGGTAACACATTTACTCTGCCAGGGTATATGCTGCCAGTTCACTCAACTCTACCTTTATTGTTAGTCAAATCTTACTATGAATATTCAAGGATAAGTAGCTACAAGCTTCCCTGAAATTACAAGTGGTTACTGATGAGTTTGGATAAAATCTGTCAATGAAGGCAACACCTGATAGAAATCGAGATGTGACTAGCATCACAAAAGATATCCAAAAGCTTTCTTGTTGTCTCTACCAGACTAACAAGCAAGGAACTGGTCAAAAGATTTATAAGCAGTTTAATTTTCTCAGTGGTACAACATATTTTTTACAAAGCATTACTGAGAAGCTTTGATGCCAGTAGAATAGGCAGTTTTCCCATAAATTAGCAGAGTTCTAAAATGTTGCTTTATATGCAACATGACCTTATTTTGTATTTTTATTGAACATAGTACGTTACATTTTAACACGTGTCTAAACTGTATTTTGAAAAAGAAAGGAGATGAGGAAGCTCAAAACATGTGAATGCAGAGTAGGAAAACCTAAGGCTTGTAGTGTAAGTCTTTTTACTCCAGTATGACAGTGTTTCCTTCTACCCTATGGGTTCCTGATACTGAAACCATAATTAGATGCTTCAGCCAAGGCAAATAGTAGCCAGACCAAAGCAGCTTATTCTAAGGAATGAGTGTTCATTTAACCTGTACTTCTGCAGAAACATACCATTTGCTATGCTGACTGCACCAGTCTGGCAAAGACAGATGGGAACAGAAAAGGCTGCCTCAATAGCAATGAAGATTCAGACTGTACAACTGGTTGAATCTTCTTCCTCAACCTGGAGGTTTGTGACCCTTTTATCCAACTGAGATCTTCTGGCAAAGGTGGAAAACAATTTTAGCAGCAGAAAATGGATGAGTGGAAACTATATGATAGGAACCTTGTGGACAAATGACACTGCAGGAAAACAGCAGCTTTAAACTCTTTAAAATGAAGCTAAGGGAATAAGCCTCAGATAAGATAAATGTATGCAGTGTGTAACCCAAGGGGAAGAAATATGTTACCATATTTTTGAAGCTTAATTAAATAGGCATAGAGTTTAATTAAGTGCTCTCCTATATAACAAAAAGAAAGGTTTCTGTTACAATGACCACCCTGGCCAGAACCCTGTAAACATATCACCTAATTTGCTAGTTTAGGCCAGCTGAGTAAGCTCACCAACTGCAAAATAAAGAATAACAACAACAGCAATAAGAAACCCATCCTAAGTAAACGCATCCTAAATAAAATGGCATTTACAACAGTGTGCAATATTAGTTTTCAGAGACCTCATGAATAGTATCAGCATGAAACTTACCTTAAAGATTTCTGCATTTGCCAAATATAGAAATCCTAGCTTTTGATACTGCATACTCTATCTCTGAAATATTTGAAATGTCTTCCAAATTAAATTGTTGCTATACGCAAGTTGTACTAATTAGTTCACTTCAGCTCCTTTAAGAATCTCAACCTAATAAAAATGGAAGTAACCTAAAAGCCAGTGTTAAATTACTTTGGAATCTCTTGTACATTAAACAGAAGGGCAATACTTTCCCACCATGTAGACACCCACTTCATCAACACACATCTGCAAAATTACTATAAGCTTTCTTTGGCCCCTGCATAGACTAAGATGGAAATTATCTTAACACAAACAAATAGTTATATTTTATCCTCATAGTGTGCTTCCCCCGCCCACATGAAAGTAGTATCATGTTTTTAGATTGTCTATCCAAGATAAGGCATACAGGAGAGACCACATATCAGAGCATGTTTGTTGTGAATTTAACAGTTGAATAAAACTTTATTACACATTACAGAGCAATCATGAAACTAAGTCCCAATAGGCTTTGATTTCTATTGGAAGAACTCTACTTGTAATAATTTTCTGAAGTCTGTGCACTCCAGGAATTGACAGCTGTCAAGTACATCATGGCTTATTCTCTGGAAGATGTTTTAAAAGCGCCCCATACTACATCTCCAAAAATATCAACCATCAGCCATTTAGGATACCATTTTTCTCTATCATTACCCAAGAACAAATCAGATTTTGCTAGTTCTGATTCTAGCTCCAGCTCTATTGTGTTGGACTATATAACAAAGGATTCCCCAAAGCCTTGTATGTGGCTATTTAAGGAATCATACTGTGTGGAGGCTGAGCCCAGGAGGAACAAATGAGTGCACAGAAATCACCTCAATTTTTTTTTTAATCTTGGCTGCAGCCTGAAAATTGCTAATAAATATTGAAGACAACCTTTATCAGCATAAAGTGCTAAAAATTTAAATAGCTAATTGTGTTAAATATGAAATAAAACATTACCACTGCCAGATTTAAGCCTATGGATTTAATGAACAATGCATGAGTTAAAAATAATTTTAACATGAAAGTAATCTGAAGTGACAGGGAAAATTATGATGGCATACATTCTGCTAAGGGACTTTTGTGATCTTACACAGAAATACTTGAAGATTGATATTAAAAGTCAGAATATTACAATGCATATTTAATATCAGTTTATTCAAATTTTAAATGGAGACACTACAAATTATCCTGATCACTGAAGAATTAAAAACCCATCACTATGAATATCTTTCAAAAAAGATGAATATATTGTTTGATTCCTGTCAGTTATGTGTTTGAAATTCAACTGTCCAAAATGTCACTAGATCAAGCTACAGCTTATCTAAGCTGTATTCCTGAATGCCCTTGCAACTTTACCCTCAGTAATTAATTTTTAGATTTGTTTCAATTATGTTATACAAAAATAGTTTTGAAAATATAAGAAACCTATCACTGACACTTTGGATACACAACACATCTCTGGCTGGAAGGCAACTGTATTTCAAAAGGACTTCACCTAGGCCAGACACTTCAAATTGTTCAGAAATACGGCATGCAGTATCCAAAAGTATGGCTCTGAGGAAATAATTTTTACATTAAGCGTAAAGATTGTTTATATTCAACATTCACTTATGTTTTGAGGAAAAAAAAACTACCTATTCAAGTTCTATTTCTTTGATGCAGCATTAAGGATTAAAACTTACCACTTTACCAGGCCTTGCCCATGTGCAAATAAATCCCTCCTGACAAGCAGTGACTATACAGTCTTCAAGAAAAATTAACACAGTCAGTCTTTCATGTGCTATCTTTTTACAGATAAGAGGCTCTAACAAAGGAACATCTTCCATTCTGGGGCACAGAGGCGTTCCCAAAGTTTTTGCTGGGTCTGTTTTGGTTTTAGTAACTAGATTCAGTTTGTCACTGCTCTTACTAGATATATGTCCCATACTATGGTTTCTCTTGTGATCTTTTTCATGGTGTTTTTCCTTCCGGTCATGTAATGATAAGGTTGCAAACTTACTAACACCAGAGGCAATGGCACCATCCATTACACTGCTTTTGCTGCCAGAATTGGAAACTGCAGAATGTGGAAGGCTATTGGAACGTGGAAGAGGAGGGGGCACAGAGTTTCCAGGTGTTGTGATGCTATTTCCATTACTTCCTGGGTTAGCTCCACCACTTCCTGTAGGGGGACTTGTGGCAGTCATGACATTTGTGTGTGTCCTTGCTCTTGAGAGGGGCTGGTGTGGGAAGAGGATATCTTCTGTTAGGTCCCATAAACATAGCTGTGTGTCCTGGCCTACCGAACCAAACCTATATGTTACACTTACTGGGCGACTCTCTGTAGAGTTCCTTTTTGATAATCTTGACTGCGTGCTATTTGCTCGATCTCGTCCAAAATGGAGGAGGTCTTGGAAGTCCTCATCACTGCCGCTGAATTCCATTGGATCATTTTCTTCTACACTGGTTGTATATGGATCAAAGGCCACAACACTGACCCACGATTTGTGCCCATGGCCTCTAGCTATCACTCGACAGTCCACAAATGACCAGACAGTCACCAAATCATCCTCTCCACCTGTTACAATATATTTTCCATCTGGGCTCCAACATGCACACAGCAGTCCTCCAAAGTAGCTTTTCATTGTACCATGCAACTCAACTGAATCAAAGTTAAACACACGAAGAAAGCCATCCTGACTTACACATGCCAAGAATTTTCCATCTGGAGAAAAACCAAATTCATTTAGGGCACCCTCACCTACTGTCCATTTAAGTAAAGGGTTTCGTGTAGATTTGCTTTTGCATGTATGGACTGCAAAACTTTCTCCTTGTTTAAGTAGCTGATAGTGTGGAGCTGTGGTACCACAATTGTGTTCCACATTATACAAGTACATATTGCCACTGGAATGAGCTACTAGGAAGAGACTTTCTGAACCAGGCACCCATTTTACACAAGTTACTCTGGACTTGTCTATTAGTCTCTGAAAAACAAAAGAAAAATATACATAGTTATCGCAGTTCTGCGTTGTTCATGTAATATTAATTGTCAAAAATACATATTTCTTCTTGCAGAAAATTGTTAGCTCATGAAGACTTAGTGGTAGGATATTGTTAAAAGCATACCTTTCTTATAAATATGAAATAAGAATATAATTACCAGCCAAATTTGTCATGAACATTTCTTAGTATAAAGTTAGACTCAGGAAATTACACATATTCCATAAAGAAAAAATACCCATTTATTAAATTCTGGCTTAGATGTAGAATCAGAACAAAAAAAATCTCTGACATGATCTAGTAATGGACACGTTTAGATATTATTGCTATTATATTGAAATAAAAATGGGAAGAAAGCATTGCTTTTAAAGTTATGCATACTTTGCAAGACAATGACTTTCAGATTTAACTAGAGAGCTTGGGGTATAGGGAGAGAAAGAAGCAGCAGAAAGATCCAATGTCTGAAACAGTTCAAAGGACTGAGCCAATAAGCAGGTATTGGGGTTGGGGGGTTTTTTTGGTCTGGAATGACATGCTTAGACACTCCAAGTCTCCCTCCCTCCCTCCCTCCCACTTTTATGCTACAGCAAAAAAGATTCTGAAACTGTGTACTAGATTTTCCAATAATTTTAACCATTATTCAAGTATTTCAAGCCATTTAAGTGAAACAAAGGGCACAGAAAATAACAGAGAATAGTACCAATTTCTTGAAACCAGCTATAAATTACAAAATTGCTTCCTTCTCCAAAACAGTATCATATGGCTTTAACTGGGATGTAAATTTCATTGGCGTATTCTGGAGCTCTTAACAAACCATCATATGACTTGTATCTACTTATAAAAGCTTAATAGGTTTATTCCAGTCCTGTAAAAGCAATAAAGCCTTCCTCATGGAAAAAAAATCCAAAATTCACTGAAGCAATGTTTTGAAGTTGAACAAAATTACAATATTACCAGCTTTTGAGCTTTAAGAACTCTTTATCAAGCAAGCTGATTGAAGAAGAAAGTGAGGACAGAAAAAGTAAAGCTCATTTTGGAGCTGCATATTTTTGTATCTGGAGATAAGAGTCCTGACTTAACAGCTAAGTTTTTACCTTTAAAAATAAAGAATTGGGAAACATTTCCTTGTGCCATTTTCCCACCACAGTTTAGGAGAGCTCTTATCACAATCCAAAAATTTGTAAGTCTGAAGCTCTCCATTACATCATCTAACAATGTAAACTGACAGTTCCAAAATCACCCACCCACCTTTTTTCACTCTAACCAACTTCCCTTATGAAAGGGTCTTGAAATTAAAAACCCTGGAGTAGTTTTGTACAACATAAACTGGCCCCAATAAAGGTACTGCCCCTATGCATTTAGAATTATTCAAGTTATGGTAAACTTGGGTTAATCTATGTAGTTCTTCTAATCTTTAGAGAAGTATGAAATATAATAATCCCAGCATTTTTTCTCCCATTATGTTTGATTTAGAATACACAGCATATTGTGTCTTATAGCACAACTGGAGCTGAATAGGCTGTATTTATAGAGTAAGTAGGTGGTAAAAATACTAGTTTCTCCTTGTCAGCAGCCATAATTTTTGATGCTGTATGTGAGTTAAAGAAAAATAGTAAGGCTGTATTGAAAATGTTGGGAAAAACAGTCCTGAATTGTAGTCCAGCAGAAAGGCTGACATACAAGCTGCTAGAATCCAGGCTATAAAATGTTATGAATAAGAAATAAAATCAGTAAGAAGATAATGGTGGTGGAGGGGAGTATTTAACATTGTATGGGTTTTTTTTTTTTTTTTTGCTATGAAAGCCAGCATATCATGCAATTTCTCAGAAAAAGAACATGTTGAACATTTATTTTCACTTTCTCAATTTATACAGTGCTTTTTCATAGAATGAAAAGATTATGGTTGTTTTACTTGATCACAACTTCAAGAAAGAAGTAGCATCTTGGATTCTAATCTCATTGAAAGATTATTTTCTACCTGCAATCTCTAAAAAGCTCCCCAAGGAACCAAATCAAGAAGAAACCAAAATCTTTCCTCTGTCCTTTCCTTACACAGAATTGTGTGAGAGGAACTTCCCTTCTCTTTTCCTCCTCTCCCTGCAAACTTCCTCCCCCATCTTATTCCCAATCTGCTTTGATGAATTTGCAATCATCTAGAAATTATTTGGGATGAGTGGAATTGTCTGTCAGCAGAAAGCCTTTCATTGGCAGAATGCCATAGTTGAACAACAACCCAATACATTTTAAACAGTTGAGTACTTTACTGCATTTTTATCTAAGCAGATGTACATGAAAAACATTGTCCACCCAAGGTTCATTTTATATAGTATTAAAACAAGCAAAAAAGCCAGACTCCTAAGGAAGCACTCATTTCTGCCCATATCTTTTTTTTTATTATTTGGTCTGCAGTAGATTTCTAACCACTGATTACAAACTATCTTAGCAAATTCACTGAAGCATTTGGAATGATAACTAATACATTTAGTTATCATGTTAGGGGACAAATACACTTTCAAGAGAGAGAATTAATCAAGTGCCACTGGTGTAAAACTGACTGCAGCTAGAGAGATATCCTTATCTGCCCTAGCACAATACTTTTGCTTTTTTCATTGTAAGGCTAGGAAGTTGGAGGAATGGCTGGAGGAGAAAGCCAGCACATCCATCTTGCAATCAGTACTATAAACATATATTGTTGTATTCAAAAATCCTGTCCCTGTATTTACCAGGGCAAATTGTTTCCAAGTAAAAAAAATAGATTATGTCGCATATGAAGAAAACATTATAAAAGAATGCAAGTATATTTGTATGCACCAAGATTAAGACATCCACTTACTTCCTCATTAAATAGCTTGCTAGTTTCTTTTTTAATAGGATCTATAAGTTGCACCTGTCCTGCAGAGAAGCCCACTAGTAGAGAAACACTTTCTGATGTGGCTGTTAAGTGATTGAAGTCATGACATGTAGGTTGCGTTCCTTTGTATATCCTTTTATCTATTGGTTTACTCAAATCAGCAGCCTGCAAGAAAGATTGAAATTGGGATTAGCAATGAGTAACACTTTAGTCTAAGATGCTTCACAAGAGAAAAAGCAAATCAACTATTTATAGCCACCATGGCAGATTTAAAAAGGAGATCACCAACTTTGTCTCTATTCAACCATGTATTGAGGTTTGCCAATTTTTTGTCTAATTAGGGATTACTACAGTGGTACCTCTACTTATGAACTTAATCCGTTCCGTGACTGATCGCAAGTCGAGTTGGCCGCAAGTCGAAGTAAATTTTCCCATAAGGTTCAATGTAATTACCATTAATCTGTTC